CAGAGGACAAGGGGCACTCTTTACGTCTGGAGGAAAAGAGATTTAGTCTCCAAACACGTAAAAGGTTTTTTCACAGTAAGAGCTGTGAAAATGTAGAATAGACTCCCTCAAGAGTTGGTTCTGGCCAGCTCAGTGGATTGATTTAAAAACGTCCTGGATTCTTCCTTGGATACACAGAATATAACTGGATATAACATTTATAGGTAAAGTTGATCCAGGGAATATACGATTGCCTCTCGGGGGATTGAAAGGAATTTTTTCCCCTGCAGGAGCAAATTGGATCATGCTTTGCTGATTTCTTTGCCTTCCTCTGGATCAACTGTGGGTGTAGGATTATAACTTTTTTTTTATGGTTGAACAAGTAGGCGAAGTGGAATTCGTTTCGAATATTGGAAAATTTTCGATTCGCGCCGAATCCGAAAAATAGCCTACTTCGGACGCGCGAATCGAAAATTTTTCCTAAAATGGCGGCGGACATGTGCGGCGACGGAGCGGGGATGTCTGGGAAGGCGCGCAGACAAGGCGCGCTGACCCATAATGCATTCCTTAATGACATGTGATCGCATTAGCCAATCAGCAGCCAGCCAGCCAGCACTGTGTAATGGTCGAGCTATAAATGGCGGCCATTTTAGAATTCTTCATTTGCCTCCAGTCATTCAAGAGAGGCAGACCGCTCTGTATTAGGGACAGAGTTAGGGCCACAGAAACGTTACTTGGGGACAGAGAAACGTTACTTAGGGACAGAGAAACGTTACGACACAGAATTGTTAGGGACAGAGAAACATTACTCAGGGACACAGAATTGTTAGTGAGGGCCACAGAATCGTTACTTAGGGCCACAGAAACGCTAGTTAGGGCCACAGAATTGTTACTCAGGGACAGACAGAATTGTTACTGAGGGCCACAGAATTGTTACTTAGGGCCACAGAAACGTTACTCAGGGCCACAGAATTGTTACTGAGGGCCACAGAACTGTTACTTAGGGCCACAGAAACGTTAGTTAGGGCCACAGAATTGTTACTCAGGGACAGACACAGAATTGTTACTGAGGGCCACAGAATTGTTACTTAGGGCCACAGAAACGTTACTCAGGGACACAGAATTGTTACTGAGGGCCACAGAACTGTTACTTAGGGCCACAGAAACGTTAGTTAGGGCCACAGAATTGTTACTCAGGGACAGACACAGAATTGTTACTGAGGGACACAGCCACAGAATTGTTACTGAGGGCCACAGAATTGTTACTTAGGGCCACAGAATTGTTACTCAGGGACACAGAATTGTTACTGAGGGCCACAGAACCGTTACTTAGGGCCACAGAATTGTTACTCAGGGACAGACACAGAATTGTTACTCAGGGACACAGAATTGTTACTGAGGGCCACAGAACCGTTACTTAGGGCCACAGAATTGTTACTCAGGGACAGACACAGAATTGTTACTGAGGGCCACAGAATTGTTACTTAGGGCCACAGAAACGTTACTTGTTACTCAGGGACACAGAATTGTTACTGAGGACACAGAATTGTTACTGAGGGCCACAGAAACGTTACTTAGGGCCACAGAATTGTTACTCAGGGACAGACACAGAATTGTTACTGAGGGACCAGAATTGTTACTGAGGGCCACAGAATTGTTACTTAGGGCCACAGAATTGTTACTCAGAAGGGTTACTGAGGGCCACAGAATTGTTACTTAGGGCCACAGAACGTTACTTAGGGACACAGAATTGTTACTCAGGGACAGACACAGAATTGTTACTCAGGGACACAGAATTGTTACTGAGGGCCACAGAACCGTTACTTAGGGCCACAGAAATTGTTACTCAGGGACACAGAATTGTTACTGAGGGCCACAGAACCGTTACTTAGGGCCACAGAATTGTTACTCAGGGACAGACACAGAATTGTTACTCAGGGACACAGAATTGTTACTGAGGGCCACAGAACGTTACTTAGGGCCACAGAATTGTTACTCAGGGACACAGAATTGTTACTGAGGGCCACAGAACCGTTACTTAGGGCCACAGAATTGTTACTCAGGGACAGACACAGAATTGTTACTCAGGGACACAGAATTGTTACTGAGGGCCACAGAACCGTTACTTAGGGCCACTGTTACTCAGGGCCACAGAATTGTTACTGAGGGACACAGAATTGTTACTGAGGGCCACAGAAACCGTTACTTAGGGCCACAGAATTGTTACTCAGGGACACAGAATTGTTACTGAGGGCCACAGAATTGTTACTAGGGCCACAGAATTGTTACTCAGGGACAGACACAGAATTGTTACTCAGGGACACAGAATTGTTACTAGGGCCACAGAATTGTTACTTAGGGCCACAGAATTGTTACTCAGGGACACAGAAATTGTTACTGAGGGCCACAGAACCGTTACTTAGGGCCACAGAATTGTTACTCAGGGGGACACAGAATTGTTACTCAGGGACACAGAATTGTTACTGAGGGCCACAGAATTGTTACTTAGGGCCACAGAATTGTTACTCAGGGACACAGAATTGTTACTGAGGGCCACAGAACCGTTACTTAGGGCCACAGAATTGTTACTCAGGGGACAGACACAGAATTGTTACTCAGGGACACAGAATTGTTACTGAGGGCCACAGAACCGTTACTTAGGGCCACAGAATTGTTACTCAGGGACACAGAATTGTTACTGAGGGCCACAGAATTGTTACTTAGGGCCACAGAAATTGTTACTCAGGGACAGACACAGAATTGTTACTCAGGGACACAGAATTGTTACTGAGGGCCACAGAAACGTTACTCAGAGGGGACACAGAATTGTTACTGAGGGCCACAGAATTGTTACTTAGGGCCACAGAATTGTTACTCAGGGACAGACACAGAATTGTTACTCAGGGACAGACACAGAATTGTTACTACACAGGGCCACAGAACCGTTACTTAGGGCCACAGAATTGTTACTCAGGGACAGACACAGAATTGTTACTCAGGGACACAGAATTGTTACTGAGGGCCACAGAATTGTTACTTAGGGCCACAGAAACGTTACTCAGGGACACAGAATTGTTACTGAGGGACACAGAATTGTTACTTAGGGCCCACAGAATTGTTACTAGGGACACAGAATTGTTACTGAGGGACACAGAATTGTTACTTAGGGCCACAGAATTGTTACTCAGGGGACACAGAATTGTTACTCAGGGACACAGAAAATTGTTACTGAGGGCCACAGAACGTTACTTAGGGCCACAGAATTGTTACTCAGGGACACAGAATTGTTACTGAGGGACACAGAATTGTTACTGAGGGCCACAGAATTGTTACTTAGGGCCACAGAATTGTTACTCAGGGACAGACACAGAATTGTTACTCAGGGACACAGAATTGTTACTGAGGGCCACAGAATTGTTACTTAGGGCCACAGAATTGTTACTCAGGGACACAGAATTGTTACTGAGGGACACAGAACCGTTACTTAGGGCCACAGAATTGTTACTCAGGGACAGACACAGAATTGTTACTCAGGGACACAGAATTGTTACTGAGGGCCACAGAACCGTTACTTAGGCCACAGAAACGTTACTCAGGGACACAGAATTGTTACTGAGGGCCACAGAACCGTTACTTAGGGCCACAGAATTGTTACTCAGGGACAGACACAGAATTGTTACTCAGGGACAGACACAGAAATGTTACTGAGGGACACAGAATTGTTACTGAGGGACACAGAATTGTTACTCAGGGCCACAGAATTGTTACTCAGGGACACAGAATTGTTACTGAGGGACACAGAATTGTTACTCAGGGACACAGAATTGTTACTGAGGGACACAGAATTGTTACTGAGGGACACAGAATTGTTACTCAGACAGACACAGAATTGTTACTCAGGACAGACAGAATTGTTACTGAGGGCCACAGAATTGTTACTTAGGGCCACAGAATTGTTACTAGGGCACAGAATTGTTACTCAGGGACACAGAATTGTTACTCAGGACAGACACAGAATTGTTACTCAGGGACAGACACAGAATTGTTACTGAGGGACACAGAATTGTTACTGAGGGACACAGAATTACTGAGGACACTGTTAGGGACACAGAATTGTTACTGAGGGCCACAGAACTGTTACTTAGGGCCACGAAACGTTACTCAGGGACACACAGAATTGTTACTCAGGGACACAGAATCGTTTAATTAAAGAGTATGTCAGACAACATGCAGAGGAGTGGCAGAGGAGGCAATGTTTTAGGAGCGAGCAGACGTGGCAGCAGAGGAAGGGGTCGAGGCAGCACTAGCTCGCAGCCAGAGGCCAGTGCTCCCGGTGTCATCCAGTACAGTGAGGAAGAGCTAACAGAGGCGGCGGTCAGGAACGGGGGGAGACATCCGCCTCTTCAGCAGCCAGGGCGAAGAAGTAGTGGCGAGGAGAGTGGCTCGGTAGCCGGTCTAGAGACAGGTCTGTCTCCTGACCCACCACGCAGCCGAGGGGGGCTAGTAGTGAGGCGGAGACCCTAATTGATGATTTTTGAGGCTGATCGCAGATTTGGCAGCCTCCCGTCGTCATCAGGCTATTGCTTCCGCATCATCATGGGAGAAGGGTGGCAGCTTGGCAGCGAGCAAAACAGTCGGTGGGTTGTCTGTCTCCATCGCCACACACTCTGCCATGTGCCACTTTCAGGTCTCCTCACACACTGCTGGTGTGTTCCATTTTTTGACATAGGGTGCTGGCAGATTACGGGCCTCCCATAGCTGCTGCCAGGCCCCTAATCTGCCATGGGCCCCTATACCGCCTCCTCATGCTGCTGCTGCCAAGTCCAGAGTCTCTCATGGGTCCCTGTACGGCCTCCCATTGCTGCTGTCTCCATCGCCACACTCTGCCATGTGCCACTTTCAGGTCTCCTCTCACACACTGCTGGTGTGTTCCATTTTTTGACATAGGGTGCTGGCAGATTACGGGCCTCCCATAGCTGCTGCCAGGCCCCTAATCTGCCATGGGCCCCTATACCGCCTCCTCATGCTGCTGCCAAGTCCAGAGTCTCTCATGGGTCCCTGTACGGCCTCCCATTGCTGCTGTCTCCATCGCCACACTCTGCCATGTGCCACTTTCAGGTCTCCTCACACACTGCTGGTGTGTTCCATTTTTTGACATAGGGTGCTGGCAGATTACGGGCCTCCCATAGCTGCTGCCAGGCCCCTAATCTGCCATGGGCCCCCTATACCGCCTCCTCATGCTGCTGCCAGGTCCCAGAGTCAGAGTCTCTCATGGGTCCCTGTACGGCCCCATTGCTGCTGTCTCCATCGCCACACTCTGCCATGTGCCACTTTCAGGTCTCCCTCACACTGCTGGTGTGTTCCATTTTTTGACATAGGGTGCTGGCAGATTACGGGCCTCCCATAGCTGCTGCCAGGCCCCTAATCTGCCATGGGCCCCTATACCGCCTCCTCCTCATGCTGCTGCCAGGTCCAGAGTCTCTCATGGGTCCCTGTACGGCCTCCCATTGCTGCTGTCTCCATCGCCACACTCTGCCATGTGCCACTTTCAGGTCTCCTCACACACTGCTGGTGTGTTAAATTTTTTGACATAGGGTGCTGGCAGATTACGGGCCTCCCATAGCTGCTGCCAGGCCCCTAATCTGCCATGGGCCCCTATATACCGCCTCCTCATGCTGCTGCCAAGTCCAGAGTCTCTCATGGGTCCCTGTACGGCCTCCCATTGCTGCTGTCTCCATCGCCACACTCTGCCATGTGCCACTTTCAGGTCTCCTCCACACACTGCTGGTGTGTTCCATTTTTTGACATAGGGTGCTGGCAGATTACGGGCCTCCCATAGCTGCTGCCAGGCCCCTAATCTGCCATGGGCCCCTATATACCGCCTCCTCATGCTGCTGCCAAGTCACCCAGCCAAGTCCAGAGTCTCTCATGGGTCCCTGTGTACGGCCTCCCATTGCTGCTGTCTCCATCGCCACACTCTGCCATGTGCCACTTTCAGGTCTCCTCACACACTGCTGGTGTGTTTGAATTTTTTGACATAGGGTGCTGGCAGATTACGGGCCTCCCATAGCTGCTGCCAGGCCCCTAATCTGCCATGGGCCCCTATATACCGCCTCCTCATGCTGCTGCCAGTCCAGAGTCTGTCATGGGTCCCTGTACGGCCTCCCATTGCTGCTGTCTCCATCGCCACACTGCTGTCTCCATCGCCACACCCTGCCATGTGCCACTTTCAGGTCTCCTCACACACTGCTGGTGTGTTGAATTTTTTGACATAGGGTGCTGGCAGATTACGGGCCTCCCATAGCTGCTGCCAGGCCCCTAATCTGCCATGGGCCCCTATACCGCCTCCTCATGCTGCTGCCAGGTCCAGAGTCTCTCATGGGTCCCTGTACGGCCTCCCATTGCTGCTGTCTCCATCGCCACACTCTGCCATGTGCCACTTTCAGGTCTCCTCACACACTGCTGGTGTGTTGAAATTTTTTGACATAGGGTGCTGGCAGATTACGGGCCTCCCATAGCTGCTGCCAGGCCCCTAATCTGCCATGGGCCCCTATATACCGCCTCCTCATGCTGCTGCCAGGTCCAGAGTCTCTCATGGGTCCCTGTACGGCCTCCCATTGCTGCTGTCTCCATCGCCACACTCTGCCATGTGCCACTTTCAGGTCTCCTCACACACTGCTGGTGTGTTGAATTTTTTGACATAGGGTGCTGGCAGATTACGGGCCTCCCATAGCTGCTGCCAGGCCCCTAATCTGCCATGGGCCCCTATACCGCCTCCTCATGCTGCTGCCAAGTCCAGAGTCTGTCATGGGTCCCTGTACGCCTCCCATTGCTGCTGTCTCCATCGCCACACTCTGCCATGTGCCACTTTCAGGTCTCCTCACACACTGCTGGTGTGTTGAATTTTTTGACATAGGGTGCTGGCAGATTACGGGCCTCCCATAGCTGCTGCCAGGCCCCTAATCTGCCATGGGCCCCTATATACCGCCTCCTCATGCTGCTGCCAAGTCCAGAGTCTGTCATGGGTCCCTGTACGGCCTCCCATTGCTGCTGTCTCCATCGCCACACACTCTGCCATGTGCCACTTTCAGGTCTCCTCACACACTGCTGGTGTGTTGAATTTTTTGACATAGGGTGCTGGCAGATTACGGGCCTCCCATAGCTGCTGCCAGGCCCCTAATCTGCCATGGGCCCCTGTACCGCCCTCATGCTGCTGCCAAGTCCAGAGTCATGCATGGTCCCACGGCCTCCATTGCTGTCTCCATCGCCACACTCTGCCATGTGCCACTTTCAGGTCTCCTCACACTGCTGGTGTGTTGAATTTTTTGACATAGGGTGCTGGCAGATTACGGGCCTCCCATAGCTGCTGCCAGGCCCCTAATCTGCCATGGGCCCCTATATACCGCCTCCTCATGCTGCTGCCAGGTCCAGAGTCTCTCATGGGTCCCTGTACGGCCTCCCATTGCTGCTGTCTCCATCGCCACACTCTGCCATGTGCCACTTTCAGGTCTCCTCACACACTGCTGGTGTGTTGAATTTTTTGACATAGGGTGCTGGCAGATTACGGGCCTCCCATTGCTGCTGCCAGGCCCGTAATCTGCCATGGGCCCCCGTACACCGACTCCTCATGCTGTGACGTTGCAACAAGGTGGAATTCAACCCTACATATGTTAGACCGCCTTTACGAACAGCAAAAGGCCATCACAGATTTCCTGATGTTAAAAGCGGATAAAGGTACTCCCTGTGTAACTTAGATGTCAGCCATTGGCAGCTCATGCGTGACACCTGCGCTTGCTCAGGCCCTTTGAGGAGGCCACGCTATTCGTGAGTCGGCAGGACTATGGGATGAACGACGTCATTCCTCTGTTGCACGTCCTGGAACAAATGCTGTTAAATAATGGCTGGTCAGGGTGCGGTAGACGTGGCGCACAGATCTCAACGCCACATGACCCCTGTGGGGGCAGGACAGGAAGAAGAGGAGGAGGTAGAGGAGGACATTGGTGCTCAGGAATTATTGAGTGAAATGGGTGGTTTTTCCACTCACTCGGACAGGAGTGGAGGAGCAGGAGCATCTGGTAGAGGAGGAGGAAGAGGAGACAGAGGACCCAGACGCACCGTGGCAGTATGCTGTGGAGATGGAGGCAGGGAGTCCCTCGCATTCCTTGGCACAAATGGCCCATAGCATGCTCGCTTGCTTGCGTACCGACAGCCGAATAATAACCATCAGACAGAGGGATGACTTTTGGCTGTCCACCTTGTTGGACCCTCGCTACCGTTCAAAATGGTGGCCTTTTTTCACACCTGCTGAGAGGGAGGCCAAAATAACGTACTACTATAAAAAACCACCTATGTAGTCAGCTGGTCTCTGCCTGTCTGCGCCAACGTCCATCCTCAGACACTGTGGGCCCTGTGCGCTCGCGTTCCGCTGCCATGGCAGCAGGGGAGGGGTGGGGTGGTAGGAGCAGTGGCAGCTCCACCAGCAGCAGCTGCCTCAGTCTGCAGTCGATGATGAGTAGCTTTCTTCACCAGCGCAGTGAGGAAACTAACTAACCACCAGCAGCAGCAGCAGCAGCAGCAGCAGCAGCAGCATCAGGTGGACCTGGAGCAGGACCTCAAACAACAGGCTTAGGCCTACTTGGACAGCACCCTGCCAACCGAGGTAGACAATCCCCTTGACTACTGGGCAACGAAACTTGACCTTTGGCCCCAACTAGCTGAATTTGCCCTTGAAAGGCTGTCATGCCCGGCCAGTAGCGTGGCATCGGAGCGCGTGTGTTTAGTGCGGCAGGAGGTATTGCAACTCCGCGGAGGACACGACTGTCCACCCAAAGTGTGGAGAGACTCACGTTTGTGAAAATGAATCAGGCGTGGATTAGTCTGGATTTCAAACCACCAGTTCCTGACACAACTGACTAAATCCGCCATGAATCATGCCCCAAACATGTGCCACTTTCAGGTCTCCTCACACTGCTGGTGTGTTCCATTTTTTGTCATAGGGTGCTGGCAGATTACGGGCCTCCCATAGCTGCTGCCAGCCCCTAATCTGCCATGGGCCCCTATACCGCCTCCTCATGCTGCTGCCAAGTCCAGAGTCTCTCATGGGTCCCTGTACGGCCTCCCATTGCTGCTGTCTCCATCGCCACACTCTGCCATGTGCCACTTTCAGGTCTCCTCACACTGCTGTGTGTTGAATTTTTTGACATAGGGTGCTGGCAGATTACGGGCCTCCCATAGCTGCTGCCAGGCCCCTAATCTGCCATGGGCCCCTATATACCGCCTCCTCATGCTGCTGCCAGGTCCAGAGTCTGTCATGGGTCCCTGTACGGCCTCCCATTGCTGCTGTCTCCATCGCCACACTCTGCCATGTGCCACTTTCAGGTCTCCTCACACTGCTGGTGTGTTGAAATTTTTTTGACATAGGGTGCTGGCAGATTACGGGCCTCCCATAGCTGCTGCCAGGCCCCTAATCTGCCATGGGCCCCTATATACCGCCTCCTCATGCTGCTGCCAGGTCCAGAGTCTCTCATGGGTCCCTGTACGGCCTCCCATTGCTGCTGTCTCCATCGCCACACTCTGCCATGTGCCCACTTTCAGGTCTCCTCACACACTGCTGGTGTGTTCAATTTTTTGTCATAGGGTGCTGGCAGATTACGGGCCTCCTATAGCTGCTGCCAGGCCCCTAATCTGCCATGGGCCCCTATACCGCCTCCTCATGCTGCTGCCAGGTCCAGAGTCTCTCATGGGTCCCTGTACGGCCTCCCATTGCTGCTGTCTCCATCGCCACACTCTGCCATGTGCCACTTTCAGGTCTCCTCACACACTGCTGGTGTGTTCCATTTTTTGTCATAGGGTGCTGGCAGATTACGGGCCTCCCATTGCTGCTGCCAGGCCTGTAATCTGCCATGGGCCCCTATATACCGCCTCCTCATGCATGCTGCTGCCAGGTCCAGAGTGTCTCATGGGTCCCTGTACCGCCTGGTCACCTGCTGTGACATGGGTCCCTGTACCGCCTCCCCATTGCTCCCACTCTGCCATGTGCCACTTTCAGGTCTCCTCACACACCTGCTGGTTTCCATTTTGTCATAGGTTGCTGGCAGATTACAGGCCCCTCCCATAGGTGCTGCCAGGCCCCAAATCTGCCATGGGCCCCCGTACCGCCTCGTCACGCTGCTGCTGGGTCCACAGTGTGACATGGGTCCCTGTACCGCCTCCCATTGCTCCACACTCTGCCATGTGCCACTTTCAGGTCTCCTCACACTCCTGCTGGTTTCCATTTTTGTCATAGGTTGCTGTATGGCCTCCCATTGCTGCTGCCTCCACCGCCACACTGTGGCTCCACACTCTGGTTTTGGCCCCGTGACTGGCCAAATGAGTGAAGTGTGCGGTGATTCTAAGATCGACGGCACTCATCTGCATGTCATACTGACTGACAGTATTATTTCTCTTCCCCAGCAGACTCCAAGGGCATTTAAATTAAAGGTACAGTGTTCTGCACTAATATTAAGTCTCTCTGAAGCCTATGACTGGATTCTCTTCCCTTTATAACTGCAGGTTACAGCAGTTTAAGGAGTTGTGGGAGAACAGAGAACCCATCAAACCAAGCGACTCATGCAGGGGTAGCACTACACGGACATACGCAGCTCTAAGTGTAGACATGCGTACAGGGGCGGACTGACCATTTAGACACTCGGGCATTGCCCGGGGTCAGTAGGGGCCCCATGAGATGCCCCTGGTACCTTTCATAGGCTTTTTTCCAGTATGGTTTGAGTGTGGGCGAGTACACAGGGGCCCCATGATTTCCTATTGCCCAGGGGCCCCACGAGTTGTCAGTCCGCCCTGCATTCATATGAACGTAGTTGCCCCCTGGATGGAGACTGTCTGCATCCAGGGGGGTGTATGTCCATACATGTCCATATGTTTACACCAGGGGTGGACTGACAACTCATGGGGCCACCGGGCAATAGGGGATCATGGGGCCCCTGTGTCCTTGCCCAAACTCAAAAAAGCCTATGGAAAAGGTACCAGGGGCATCTCATGGGGCCCCTTACTGACCCCGGGCCCATGGGCAGTGCCCGAGTTTTCAAATGGTCAGTCGCCCCTGGTTTATGCTCAAAGCTGCACATACACACGTACAGCCATGTACTGTAATTCATTTTACAGGTGGCTATATGCAACACATATGACTCCTAGGCACTGAAATATTTTACATGATATGCCCCACCGCATATACTGTATGCTATGCCGCACACTGCAATGCAAAGCGGAAAAGTGTGAGCCCACCCTAACAGATAAGTGTTGTTTCTTCTGTATTGCAAAGACAGATCTTCATGTTCAGATTCAAAATCTGGGACATTTTTGCCCTAGGGGACCATCAAAGTAAAAATCATTGTCTGACCTTATTTTAAACAGAGCAGAATGGAATGGCGGCTTTCGGCATAAACCTTTCATGTGAGTTTCCTAAATGACCACCGTTCTATATTCCAGAACAATGTCACCCCAGGTACATCTCTTTACAAGAATTGGAAAATAAGGGAAAATGTTGTGACTGTGCCACCGTGTTCCTGTATGACAAACCACAATGGGGGGGATTGATCTGGAGTGTCAGTGAACTTGCACATTCATCAGATAGGAGAGGGGAGGATGAAGACGGCTTCTTCCTGAATGCTAAGAGAAGATATCCGGCTGGGTGACCTCTGTGTTAGTAATGGGGCTCTGATTGCATGGGAACTGTCCTTCAGGAAATGCTTTATCCTGCGGGAATGACCTCTATCCTGTTCTTCCTGCTCATTAACCATTTGTCAGCACACAAAAGCCCCTTCATCACTGGGACTCGGGAGCACGTCAATATTCGCTTGGCCTCCACTGTAAATCAGGAACGGGTGACTGACAGCTGAGATCAGTGTGACATGCCGATATTGGTCTGATGACACATTCCATACACACATCATATAAAAAAACAACATTTTTTATTATAAGGCAAGGTCATAGAGTAATAAATAATATTTATCTGTCAGCTTCCAGAATTAGAAACACGTTAACCATTGAGCTTATTTTATTATTATATGTATTTATTTAGTGCCAACATCATTTATGTATATGTCATCTGGAATATGCAGTTCAGTTTTGGGCACCAATTCACAAAAAAAGAACATTGGGGGAACTGGAGAAAGTGCAGAGAAGGGAAACCAAACTGATACGAGGCATGGAGGAGATCAGCTATGAGGAAAGATTAGAGGAACTGAATTTATTCTCTCTTGAGAAGAGGAGATTAAAGGGGGATATGATCTCTATATATAATACATAAGGGGGGATATGATCACCATGTATAATACATAAGGGGGGGATATTATCTCCATGTATAATACATAAGGGGGATATGATCTCCATGTATAATACATAAGGGGGATATGATCTCCATGTATAATACATAAGGGGGGATATGATCTCCATGTATAATACATAAGGGGGGATATCATCTTCATGTATAATACATAAGGGGGGATATGATCTCCATGTATAATACATAAGGGGGGATATGATCTCCATGTATAATACATAAGGGGGATATGATCACCATGTATAATACATAAGGGGGGATATGATCATACATGTATAATACATAAGGGGGGATATGATCTCCATGTATAATACATAAGGGGGGATATGATCTCCATGTATAATACATAAGGGGGGATATGATCTCCATGTATAATACATAAGGGGGGATATGATCACCATGTATAATACATAAGGGGGGATATGATCTCCATGTATAATACATAAGGGGGGATATGATCACCATGTATAATACATAAGGGGGGATATGATCTCCATGTATAATACATAAGGGGGGATATGATCTCCATGTATAATACATAAGGGGGGATATGATCTCCATGTATAATACATAAGGGGGGATATGATCTCCATGTATAATACATAAGGGGGGGATATGATCTCCATGTATAATACATAAGGGGGGATATGATCTCCATGTATAATACATAAGGGGAGATATGATCACCATGTATAATACATAAGGAAGGGGATATGATCTCCATGTATAATACATAATGGGAATATGATCACCATGTATAATACATAAGGGGGATATGATCAAAATGTATAATACATAAGGGGGATATGAGCTTCATGTGTAAATACATAAGGGGGGATATGATCTCCATGTATAATACATAAGGGTGGATATGATCACCATGTATAATACATAATGGGAATATGATCACCATGTATAATACATAAGGGGGGATATGATCTCCATGTATAATCTCCATGTATAATACATAAGGGGGGATATGATCTCCATGTATAATACATAAGGGGGGATATGATCACCATGTATAATACATAAGGGGGGGATATGATCTCCATGTATAATACATAAGGGGGGGATATGATCCCATGTATAATACATAAGGGGGGATATGATCTCCATGTATAATACATAAGGGGGGATATGATCTCCATGTATAATACATAAGGGGGGATATGATCTCCATGTATAATACATAAGGGGGGATATGATCTCCATGTATAATACATAATGGGGATATGATCACCATGTATAATACATAAGGGGGGATATGATCTCCATGTATAATACATAAGGGGGGATATGATCTCCATGTAAAATACATAAGGGGGGATATGATCTCCATGTATAATACATAAGGGGGGAGATGATCTCCATGTATCATACTTAAGGGGGGATATGATCTCCATGTATAATACATAAGGGGGGATATGATCTCCATGTATAATACATAAGGGGGGATATGATCTCCATGTATAATACATAAGGGGGGATATGATCTCCATGTATATTACATAAGGGGGGATATGATCACCATGTATAATACATAAGGGGGATATGATCTCCATGTATAATACATAAGGGGGGATATAGTGAACTCGGTGTAGAGTTATTCACCCTGAGGTCATCACAGAGGACAAGGGGGCACTCTTTACGTCTGGAGGAAAAAGAGATTTAATCTGCAAACACAGAAAGGTTTCTTCACAGTGAGAGCTGTGAAAATGTGGAATAGACTCCCTCAAGAGTTGGTTCTGGCCAGCTCAGTGGATTGCTTTAAAAAAAGTCCTGGATTCTTTCTTAGATACACAAAAATATAACTGAATATAACTGGATATAACATTTATAGGTAAAGTTGATCCAGGGAATA